TTAATTAATTCTCCAACAAGTTCCGATTTATAGCCCCATATCTTTTTCTCCTGACACATCAGTGTTCGTCACTTTAAAAGACACGGATAAGTCCCGTCCTTCCCCCCGGCCCCCCTTTGCAAGTGTCTTTGTGGATTTATTGAAATATTTCCGGAGCATTTTGCTGAATGTAACAAGATTAGAGTTTCATAATTTTATGGTCTAAGCAGTTGAGTTGGGATTGAAGTTGACTGTGTGTGAGATGACAACCCTTTTTTGAATATGGGGCATTCGGTTTGAGGTGGAAAATCACACAGTTCAGTCATCCAGAAGTGAAGGGACAAAGACAAAGTAGAAAGTTATCAAGTAGACTTTTTGTTTAAGAGGCACGGGGATTTCACAGTTTCACTAAATTTACTGTTCCTTTAAATTCAGCCGGACTTACATCTGAGGAGACATGCATGGGATTGAGCTGGTAGTCATACTTTGATTTTGTGGGATTTAATTAACAGATAGGGAGAGAAAGACATGGCATACAATATAAAATATATTTGGTTTCATCATTTTATATCAATATTTGTGGAAGTACAATACTGATTCATACCTGTGTTTTATCTTTGCACTTAAATGGTTTCGATCTTTGCACGTTGTTTCAAAACGGAATTAGAAAAGAATGTTGCTAAAAGTCCATTGTTGACAAAAAGCATACCAATTGGATTGAAAAGAGTAGGCAGCATTTGACCGGGTCTTTCATTCGGTATGAAGTTTTGCACCAGGTTTTTGAGCCCCTCCATCCCTATAGTTCTAAAAACTTTCACCAATCTTCTCAAACACAGTTGGTTATTTATTTATCGTGTCACAAGCGAATTGGGGGTACAGTTATAATGTATTTCAAAACACAAACAAAGTTAAAAATTTGGCATTATACTAGATTTCCTTTGACCAGAAACTGGCCACTTGGAGTGCCTCTGGTGCTGCTGTAAGAAGGTCCTCCATTGTGCATGTGGCAGGGCTCAGGCTGCTTGTATTAAGTGGACTGTGGTTTGCTCTTCTCCACACTCACACGTTGTGGTCTCCACTTTGTAGCCCCATTTCTTAAGGTTCTCTTTGCATCTCGTGGTGCCAGAGTGCAGTCTGTTCAGAGCTTTCCAAGTTGCCCAGTCTTCTGTGTGCCCAGGAGGGAGTTTCTTATCTAGTATCAGCCATTGATTGAGATTCCCAGTTTTAGCCTGCCACTTTTGGACTCCCGGTTGCTGAGATGTTCCTGTGGTTATCTCTGTAGATCTTAGGAAGCTGTTTCTTAATTTAAGGCATTGGTGTACTGTCTGATTTCCGAACAGAGGATGGGCCGCAGATGTCACTGCCCGGAACCTTTAATTTTGGGCTGTGTTCTTAGTAATGAAAAAGCACAGTTAGTGAGACACAAGAGAGGATCTTCTTAAGGGCTGCCCTTGGACACTGGAGCTACCTTTCCAGGGAGGCCAGAATAAACCCATAGTTGTTTTCCTCCCATTGCAGACTTATAAAACATAAAGCTTTTTAAAAAAAGAGCTTTGTGTTTTACTCTTTTTAACTATTTTAAATAGCTTTTTAGTCATTAGCATTGTATTCTATTATTCATAGGGCACTAGAGGGTTGAAAATTAGGCTCCCGATAATAACAGATCCTGATCTGGGCTGAGTCGAAGTCCAGAGGTAGATGCAGCCTATATTCAGCATTGCAAAACATGCCCATGAAAAGTGTTGGAGGCATTTGCTTTGGAATCCCATGATAAGGTGTTGTGCTCTTATTAGGATTAGTTACCCTCTGGTAGCTTACAATTTGTATTCTGGGAGTTTGGGTTCTTAATGTATTTTAGAATGGGTATTTTTATGCTGCCCTTCAGCAGACTCCCAAGGCACCTTAAAAATTATAAGGCTTAATAAAGTACGGTACGAGACCTAATAAAATGTACCTCTGAATGGTACGTTCTCCTTCCCATGACAAATTAGCTGTTTTTTTAGTTGAACCAGCATTGTTCATCCTGTCTGGACCTTGATTCTTAGTTGCCTTCATAATTCACTTGCAGTTATATTGCACTACAGATTTTGTTTGTGTGCAATTTTTAAAAAACAGTTTTGATGGTTTGGTGTGAAAGGATCAAAAAGGCAAATTGTTTGACTCTGCTAAACTGTGCATAATGGGATGATGATGATTTTGTGAAAGAATAAAGCCAGAGTTTTGCAGGCTGTATGGCCATGTTCCAGAAGCATTCTCTCCTGACGTTTCGCCCACACCTATGGCAGACATCCTCAGTGGTTGTGAGGTCAGTTGGAAACTGGGCAAGTGGAATTTCCAAGGTGGGAGAAAGAACTCCCCAGGCAGGAAGCAGCCAGGCTTTGAAGCTGCCAGGGTATTCAATGTTAATCTACCTGGCAAATTGCAACATTCATACTTGCCTCCAAAAGACAAGAGTTCTTTCTCCCACCCTGGACATTCCACAGATATATAAACCCCACTTGCCCAGTTTCCCACACACCTCACAATCTCTGAGGATGCCTGCCATAGGTGTGGGCAAAACATCAGGAGAGAATGCTTCTYGAATGTGGCCATATAGCCTGGAAAACTCACAGCAACCCAGTGATTCTGGCCATGAAAGCCTTTGACAACACAGTAAAGCCAGACATTCAATAACAGTTTTAATTTCCCCTCCATTAAAATGATTAGTTGATTATTTCATGAAATYTAAATACATTTGCATTTTCACCAAGCCACACCTGAAATATGACAGAAGCATGAACTAATTTACAAAGTGATAAACAAAAACTACTATTCTTTGTTGTAAGGAAAACTTGTCTTTCAGTCTRTCAGTTATATGAAGGCACCAAAATGACCAAGATTGGTAAACTCTCAGTTTTGTTCATTTCATCTATTGGAATTTACCCMCATCGATCAAAAGTAGCTTCCAGTTTTGTAATCATCTATTGAAACAGATGAAAAACTTGCAGCCCAGATTTTAAAAGTAAAACTTCAAAAACTAGTCAGGTTACAAAAATGAATGTACTGCGGAAACACTTTTGCCTCTTTGTGTAAGCATGAATTGTGTTGTGGTATGGTTTTGTGCCAGTGCATCTGTATTGGGAGAACTGTGTGCCAATTTTTGTTTGTTTCTTGCTTTTTGAGCTATAATGTCAATGTAAATGCTTCATCCAGAAGCACAGTATGTATCCAATTTTGTTAAAATATTTCATATTTAACCACTGGTCAGCGGACTTTCTCCTACTCAGCCGTACTATCTTATTTGCTTTTGAGAAACATGAGAGCAGAGTTACTTTCCATTGCAGTGATATAATAAGTAACTACTTTGTGGCATCATGAAACTAGGATCATAAATAATTACTTTTAAATGTTACTCTACTCTGGATTTTGGTTTGAACTTTAAAGGACAGATTTCAGATGCTAAATCCTATTCTTAAAATATATTTAACACTTTGGATAGCTCCTTCACAGCAGTGGTTCCCAACTTTATTTTGTCCAAGGACCACTTGACCAGGGACCAGTTTGACCAGGGACCCCTCTCCAGCATTAGTACCGAAAGGGTTATGAATCAGTTTTTGGTCAACTTTAGATTTGGTTTGGTTATTTGGGGTGCCGATTCAGAAAATTGTATTGGATAGACCACATCAGCTCTAGTTTCCAATACAAAACATATGTCATCCAGTAGTCGCTATCTGCTTGTCCACAGAAAACCATATTTAATAATCTAGAGTTGATGTGGTCTATCCAATTCAATTTTCTGAATCAGCACCCCAAATAACCCCAGGAACAGGCCTAAAAAGGAAGATATCTCTTTTGTCAGTAGTCAGCCTTTCCCCTCCTGACATCCTCATTGTCTTGGCACTGTTAGAGGTTTTTTGCGAGACCAGTTGCTCTTGTTGCAACCGTGTAGTAGTGGTGAGGCCATGGACCATATTTTCGTTCTTGCAGATCATTGGTGGTCTGCAACCACAGGTTGAGAACCACTGTTTTACAGTTCGATCTAAAACCTGGAGTGGGTTTACTACCCTACTGATGTGGGAAGCCATGCAGTGCCACTGATGCAAACAGACTTGGTTATGATGATATGTGTAGAGTTCAGCCAAAGGCATGGGGAGTATGTGGGTCACTGCATTGTCTACACTTGAGGTGTCCTGGCAGAATGTATGACAATGACCACCTTACAGTAATATGATTCAACTGACATTTGGTGACACCTGACATAAACTAACTGATGAACTGTATTGTTGAACAATTTCATGGCTTGAGTCACTGGGTTGTTGTAGGTTTGGCTGTACTTCTAGAACATAGCCATACAGCCCGAAAAACCTGCAACAACCCAATTGATGAACTTCTTTCTACTTGTTGCAAAAAGGTATTGTTTTTTAAACTTTGCATTGAAATTGGCAAGATTAAAATGCATGTGCCTATGTGCACAGAAAGGCAGCTGATGCTGGTACTAACTTTTAGCATCACAAAAGTTTAATCTTCGCAACACATCTTGTTCTCTCATGACAAAACCACAGTTTCATTGGTTTTTTTCCTGCTTCTTAAGCTGGATGGGGGAGAGCAAAAAGGAGCAAGTCAACAGCCATGTCTAGCAGACAGATGTTCTGTCTTTTGCAAGCTCCTCTAAAGTGCTAAAAGAAAGAGCCTCCTATTCCCTTCCACCCCGTGTATAAAATAAAATGGAATAAAATGGAATTGCATTTCATTATGTCGTGCTCTTAGGTAATTTCTCCCCCTCATGAATGTGTTTAAGAAACCAGCATACAAGGGAGAGCTATATTAGTGTATTATTCTCACAACAAACAGGCACTGTTCTGTTGCTACCTGCTTGGCCATTGTTCCCGATTGTGTATGCTTTGCAGTGGTATTTGGATGGTTTCCTGCTCTCCGCCAGCACAAAAAAGGCATTTCTGTTACAATGGCCCCTAACCACACAATGACGGCATTAAGGATTTATGTGGAGGTTTCATTATTTTCTCCTCTTTTGTTCCTTGTAGGATGTCTTCCAAGCGACCAGCCTCTCCGTATGGGGAAGCAGATGGAGAGGTAGCCATGGTGACAGGCAGACAGAAAGTGGAAGAAGAGGAGAGTGACGGGCTCCAAGCCTTTCACCTTCCTTTGCATGTGAGTTTTCCCAACAAGCCTCATTCTGAGGAATTTCAGCCAGTTTCTCTGCTGACGCAAGAGCCTTGCGGCCATAGGACTCCCACCTCTCAGCAAAACACAATGGTAGGTCTCCTCCAGGCTCTATTGTGCTTTTGGTTTGCCTCCACTGGAGGCTCTATTGTGCTTTTGGTTTGCCTCCACAATAGCTTGGCATCTAAAGACCTCTCCTTTTGTACAGTGTGCAGTTTTGGCATCACACACATGGAACACACCACAATAATGGGAAAACTTTGACCTAACTAAGCCATTTTCCTCCTTCTGCCCCTTACTTCAGCAGGGGGTCCTTCTAGCTGTGATCACAACACAACCTTAGTAGGCCTCCAGTTATCACCAACTTAATAGCTAGGTTTATTCAATTGTAGTCAATTGAAATCAGTCAATCAATAAAATAGTATAAAATGAAAATAAACTCCCCCTCTTCAGAGCAAACATGGGAACACATAGAACTGAACTCAGTATCTATTAACAGTTTATAGCTATGAGTTGCCTCCAAGTAGGCAGAGGGTGAAAAATTACTGGTAGGGTGGTTTAAGTGTTGGACTAGGATTCTGAAGGCAAGAGCTCTCACTGGGTAGTCTTGTGTAAGTCACACTCTTTCAGCCACAGAGCTTCCCCTGAATAAACCTTGCCAAGAAAACCTTATTATGGGTTGGTTATATGCGGTGGTTGACTTGAAGGCGCAAGCAACAACTTTGTAGAAGCAAAATTAGATCTTGAAAAAGGTTTTTTTTTTCTTTTGTCAGTCACTTCAAGTCAGTGGGGCTGCTGTGAGATTCTGGGAATTGTTATCCAAAAAGATTTTTTTCAAGATTCTGAAAAAGGATTATGCAGGCATGTCTAATACCGACGTCTGCGAACCAACAGCAAATTCATTCTGAGGGCAGATTTCAAAATATCCCCGAGGGAGGAGGCATCAGAATGAAGCAAAATAAGAAGCTGCTAATAGAATGCAACTAAACATTGTGATATGTGAATTTCTGGATATCAATCCAGGGTTAAAACCATTGTTGGAAGGGCCAGTTAAATGGTTGGGCATCTTACCTGTTGCCAATTTTAAATAGATGTGTGATACTTGGATATAATTTGAGAATCCTTATTTAAATACTGTAGAGTCTTGCTTATCCAGCCTTCACTCATCCAACATTCTGTATTATCTAACACAGTCTGCCTCCCACCTGGTCCACAGCTGTTTTAATACATCGTGATGTTTTGGTGCTAAATTCGTAAATACAGTAATTACTACATAACATTACCGTGTATTTAACTGCTTTTTCTGTCAATTTGTTGCAAAACATGATGTTTTGCTGCTTATTTTGTAAAATTATAATGTAATATGATGTTTAGTAGGCTTTTCCTTAATCCCTCCTTATTATCCAACATTTTCGCTTGACCAACTTTCTGCTGGCCTGTTTATGTTGGATAAGCGAGACACTGCTGTAACCAATGACAGAATATTGGGGTCTATGAAACTCTTGTTTTAAAAGTCCCTCTGTCCCACCAACCAAGAAACTCTGTGGCTCTGAATCTTGTGTTTTAAAAATGTTCATACAGGTCTGGTAAATATATATATATCTCCAGCAACATATTGAAACCTTTTTATATGTTACATGGGGCTTCCCCCTGTTTTCTGTATAAAAAGCAAAAGGTTAAACATGCTGTTCCACTTCAGAAAGAATACAGAGTGTTGATAATCTTCTTTCTTGGGTGAAGTACCTTTTGAGAAGAATTACCTGCCAGGTGGCTAAGAATGTATGTGAGAGAGAAGATTTGTGTGAATTTATCTTATAAGGAAGGAGAGTACAGAAACATGACGTGAATAGAAGAAAAATACATCGATGCAATATCTCCAATTGTGCATTGTTCATTTTGGATCTTGAACACTGAAGAATGCTACAGGATGCTGGCCCCACTTTCTCCCTATATCAACACCAGGGCATTAAAGAGCAAGTGTATATTTTAAACATGAAAATAAGAATCTAAGTATAAAAGTATTTATTTTGTTAAATTTCTTGAAATACAGTATAAAAGCTATATCCACTGAACCATTATCCAAGGTTTCACCTACCCACATCCGACAAAATATGTCATCTCTAGATATTTTCTAGCTTCCACAGCAAGTCTATGTATGATTCTGCCAAAAGTTACCCTCGAATAAAATATGTAATCCCTATTAGTATGTAGGCTGCACTATAATAATAACCACCTTATATAATAATAATAATAAGAAGAACAATAACAATAATTAATATTGTGAATAATATTTTATTTATTTCGGTTGCTTCTACCCCGCCCTTCTCACCCCGGGGGGGACTCAGGGCGGCTTACAAAAGCAAGGCACAATTCGATGCCCGCATCACATAACAGCAAAAGACAATAACATCAGTTAACGAAGACAGCAATTCTAATAATAACAACAATTAACAGAAACAATAATTATTATAGGCAAAAACAACCATAAAAGCAATAAAACCAATAAAACCAATACAAACACTCTTATAGTTTAAATTCCAATTCCACAATTGTCAGTCCTTTCAGTCCTATCCATCTGGTTTCCATATCTAATTGTCAGGTTGCCCAAAGGCCTGGTCCCACAACCACGTCTTTACCTTCCTCCTGAAGGCGAGGAGGGATGTTGATGCCCTGATTTCCCCCGGGAGTGAGTTCCACAGGTGAGGGGCCACCACTGAGAAGGCCCTGCTCCTCGTCCCCACCAGCCTCACTTGTGATAGCGGTGGGGTCGAGAGCAGGGCCTCCTCAGATGATCTCAAATTCCGGGGTGGGACATAGAGGGAGATACGTTCGGACAGATACACTGGACCGGAACCGTAAAGGATTTTGTAGGTCAAAACCAGCACCTTGAATTGTGCTTGGAACTGAACCGGCAGCCAGTGGAGCTGACACAACAGGGAGGTGGTGTGCTCCCTGTATGTCACTCTAGTGAGCAATCTGGCTGCCGCTCGCTGGACCAGTTGAAGTTTCCAAACAGTCTTCAAGAGCAACCCCACGTAGAGTGTGTTGCAGTAGTCTATACAGGATGTAACAAGAGCATGGACCACTGTGGCCAGATCAGACTTCCCAACAATCTTATATAACAACAACAACAACAACCATAATATGTTTGTATCCCACCACCATCTCCCCAGAGGGCTCGGGGCAGCTTACATAAGGGCCAAGCCCAGTCAGACACAGTTAAAATATGACACAGTAAAAATACATATAACAACATCATAAAAACATAATTAAAACATAATTCGTCATACAACAACCAGTAGCTGAACATAATAAACATTTCTGAGCTAAGAGGTGAGGGAAGGCTTGTGCGATAGAACTGCTAGGACAAGGGCTGATGGCAAACTGCGAGAGGTAGGTGATACGTTAAGGTTGAAAGGGCCAAGTCAAATTAGTACATTACAACTCCTGGGCAGGGACAATAATGAAGTGCAAGAGTTGAGAATAAAGTTAGGGCTAGAGGGACCAATTCATTTAATGAACCGCTTAGGCAAAGGCACATTCGAACAACCATGTTTTTAGGTCTTTTTATATTCAAAGATCTCAGGGCAACATAAAATAAAACAACACAGTCAACTGAATGCAATGTAAAGAGCAAATCATTTTTAGAAGGCTAAAATATTAAACACTTTAAGAAGTTTTATCTTGTTGCAGAAATAACAGAAGCATGGTACCAATTGGGCCTCCAAAGGGAGGGCATTCCATAATTGGGGTGCCACAGCAAAGACGACCATCACTCATATCAATCAACTGATGGTACACAGAGGTGGGTCCTTCCATCAGATCTCAAACAGGCATCTTTAAGAGAGAGGTTCTTCTTCAAGTACTGAGGGCTTGAACTATTTAGAGCTTTAAATGCTGTTGAATTCAGCTTAAATTCAGACAGGAATCTCATTAGCAAGCAGTGCAGTTTTTCTGGGTATGGTGGCAAAAGATGAGATTATAATCTGTCCCCAGAAGAACCTAAAAGAAACACTGACCCTCTCTACTCACTTGGTACTCCTTTGTGATGGTACTTTTGTGCTCTGGCAGGAGGATTAAGCTTTCGCTTTAGCGAGTCTACTCAGAGAAGAGAATTGTTCATTTTTTATAATAGTTAGTACAATAACTTTTATCAAAAGAGAAGCCATCACCACCTCTGAGTAGAGGAGTGGAAAAAAGCCTTTTTGAATGTCTGGTTGAAAAAAATGGCAGTAACAGTGGCCAGATATGGCAGGTCCCCTGATGCATAGCAGCACTTCCCTCAATTCATGAAATGGCCCCCAGCTTATCCTTGGATCATATCAAAATCCATAATTTTGGCCCTCAAACTTTCTCTCATTTATATATGAGATAAATTTATATACGATCTGTTCTTCAAGTTTACCATGATCCAATAAGTAACCCAGGATTGTTATCATATTGCAGATGTGACGGGTTAACATGGGAGGAAAGTTTGCCCAAGCTCATCATACCAATTCATGTAAGGAAGAGGATTGAATTGGAGAGGAGGCGTCCTGTTCCCAGCTCTGGATCTTAGTCACTCAAAATGTACCCGTTCTTTTCCTGTATAATAGAGAATTTCTTTAAAAAACAAACAAAGAGCAGTTGTGGGAGAAGAATGCAAATTTCAGGTGTACCTTTTGTACATCTAGCTTCGGATAGGCTCCAGCCCACACCTCATTTAATTGTGATGGGACAATACAGAATGTTGTGAACACCAGAGTAGTTATTGTGCCAGCTCTAATAATGAGAATTTTCATTGTTTGGGGAGCGCCGTCTCCTACACTCTAGACAAAAGTGTAATTACTTTTGAACGACGTGGAATGTGCTCTGCTTAAATAGCACGGCAAATAGATTTGCAAAGATTCAGATATGGCTTGCTTAGATGCCATATGTGCAGCATGGCAATAAGGCATAGTTAGAACGCAGCATAATTATGCACTTTGGCATACAGACGGCGCATACATACAATTTCACAGCTTAAGCCCAATGCTGTTGTTTCTCTAAGAGGCGGACCAGCTTCCCTGAAGAAGGCCAGCTCGGTTAAAATAAAGCGAATAATGGTGATCAAA